ATATATATATATATATATTTATTCATATTCAAACTTACTTGGTAGATTAAAATTCTATAAAATTATTATATCAAAAGTCGGAGAGATGAAAGGAATTACTTCGATCGAAACACGGATACATTAACGCTATACCTTTAACCAACAATAATGCTATAAAATTTACCATTTACATTTATCGTTTCATCGTATCGCGGTAATAAATATTAAATCAAATATCCGTTTCTTCGATTATTTAGATATATGAACAGGTTCGACGTTGAATATCCGTTAACAAATTATAGAGGAATATTGCAGAGGAATCTGTCTGTCCAAGAATGGATGAAAAGAATATATTTCAATATCGCGATAAACGAGATGAAAATATCCGTGTGGCGGATTTTTTACACGGTTCGATCGAGGTTAAACGGTTAAATTGTTAAAGACGTTGTAAAAGATTCGAAACGTCGATTTCCTTGGATGAGTCGGAGGAAGAGGGAAGAATCGGGAATCATCAATCTATCGAGTCGAGTCGAGTATTCGAATGGCGCTAATTCAGTACCCCTTGTCCCTTCGCTCCACTTGTCAAGACTCCAACTTCGTGTACCTCGGCCACTTAAAGCGGCATTGTACAGGGAAGACAGGACGGGTTCGACCAGGATCCAAATAAATAGGCCCTCGTATATCAACGCCCCAGAAATCGCAGCAGCTCGATCAACCTGAGCGCACCTTACATTGTCTCTGTAAGTCGAGCGCGTCCAACTTCCACGACCTGGATATATCGTCTGCCATTGTCCGAATAAGGAAATAAAATCCTTGATGGACTGCCATTGAATGAATTTCAACCCCTCGCCTCGCTCTCTAATTCCTCGTCCCGGAGAAAAATTATTCGCTTCTGTATAATCTTAGTTTCAGTCTGTTCAATTCTAATCCTAAGTTTATTTAATTCTAATTGATTAATTTTTCTTTTTTTTTTTTACGAAATAAAATAATACATGATATCTTATTTATTTTAGAGATCCTTTTACGTGTAAAGGCAACGACGAATTACGGTCAATCGAAACGCGTTCTTAGTGGTTAATTTAAAGCGTTTAAACTCGAGGGCAGCAATCGAAACAAAAAAAAAAAGAAAAAATATGGAAAAACGGGGAAACGATGGATGATATAACTAACGTGGAGCGAATTAATGTTATGCCAACGGCTAGCCGTAAAAATTACCAAAACAGAGAGGTATTGGATCGCGATATCTCTCGGCAGATTCGTGGGAAAAAAACAGGATTATTATTTTTGCATTATCGATTGCTCGGATATATTTCGATTCCCTCCCTTCTCTCTCTCTCTCTCTCTCTCTCACTCCAACTGTGCCACGGCCGAGGGATAGGAGCCGATAATTTTAACGAAGAGGCGAAAAGAAGAAGTTTTAAGAAGAAGTCCCATTCATCGGCTGGTCGAAAAAACTGACAAAACAGTTGATAGGACAGATACAGCGGGCACTGTGGAATACGAATGGACTTTTGGCGGATGTACTGTAGGTGGCCGCGAATGGCTTCGAACGGCTTCGAACTCTGGTGCAAAAGTCTCCAGAATCTGGAGGGGAAGGATCGAAGAGATATATATATATATATAAAAGAAAGAAAAAAAAGAAAAGAGATATGAGAAAGATTGTGAAAGAGGAGAGAAGGGGAAAAAAAAGGAAAATCCACGAGTGTGGAAGAAAGGATGGAGAAGGAAGAGGGCGAGGGAGAAGAGGTAGGAGGAACGATTCGGTGGAAAAATGTCATCGAGCGATCCTGATTTACAACGGTAGGGAAATCGGTGCGGCGAACTTCGTGTCGGAAACTCAGAAATTTTCGCTCGTGGGAATCGGAACTTTCATTGACGTTCGTGGTAGATTTCTCGAGCGCGCGTAAAATAAAAAAAAAAAAAGAAGAGAGGGGAGGAAGAAAGAGAGAGAGGGAGAGAGGGAGCGCCATCGACGAACTCGTCGACGAGAACGTGGACGGGAATCGGTTAACAGCGGGACGCAGGAGGTGTGTAAGGATTGTCTTTTATTAATGATTTTCCCTAATGCACATCCATGGATACATAGAAACGCGGTTATACGGTTGCGTAGTTAATGACCGATTAGCGTAGCAAGCTTACACGTCTCACTTTAAAGCGCTTTACTATGGTAATATATCTGGCAAACAACATTTGTCTTTGATTATCGTGGCCGGTGTTTGCATAGCTGTGTAAATAGTACCACGAGGCTCTCCTTTTGCCGGATACGCGCCATCACGTCCAACAAGAGAGAAAGAGAGAGAGAGAGAATAACGTTGAACTACTTTTATTCTTTGTATCCCGCCTGCCTTTCTCTCTCTTTCTCTCGTATTGTTTGTCCCAATTATTGCAAAATTATTCGCGTATTTATTTTGGGGAAAACCGAGTTATCTCCTTTGACAGAGTGCTAGAAGAATGGATCTAACCGACGGTAAAGGAACACTATTATCATTGGCCGCGTTAAAATGTTTCGCGTGCTCGCGCCACTTGAAAATGTGTTTTCAATTTTATTCCATTTCGACGCGTTACGCGAAATATAAAAGCGAGCCCCTCGCGTATCGAATAACGCCCGAAAACCTTGTTTCCACGCGAGTCGAATTATAACCATTT